GCCTGGAGCCCCTCCTGCACTGACCTGGGGGGCTGCAGGGCTGATCCCCTCACATATTCTCACTCCTTGCTCCAGCCGCAGTTTGTGTCCCAGTGGTTTGGTTTTTTTTTTCCTCCTCCTCCTTAAACATGTTACCCCAGAGGCACTACAGCCGTCGCTGATGGGCTCGGCCTTGGCCAGCGTTGGGTCCGTCTTGGAGCCGGCTGGCATCGGCTCTGTCAGACGTAGGGGGAGCTTCTGGCAGCTTCTCACAGAAGCCACCCCTGTAGCCCCCCTGCTCCCAAAACCTTGCCATGCAAACCCAATACAAACTATTAATTATTGGTCAATGGATTAAGAATTGCAAGCATATAATGAGATAAGCAAAATGTTACTCTGTTACCAAAAACCTGCACAGATAAATAGCTTATCTACACGTTTGTGCTTGTCTGCCAGCTGCATACAAGGTGACAGCTCCCTGTATTTAAAAATCATGTTTACTGTGGATTTTAGTTGCATTTCCCAGATCTTGTGTTGTCACGGACTTTACTCTGGCCCAAGTTAAGCTATTTCTGCAAAACCTTTGCAGTTCATAATCTCATCTGTAGCATTTCATGACTTTGTTTTAATTTTTTCCTTACAGCTCCAACTATAAGTTTTTCCTAGCAATTCTGACAGGCGGGGGGGTTGTGGTCAGTGGTGCTCATGTTATTCAAGCTTTCTAGTTTCACCATTTTCACAAACAGTGGTGTTGGTTCCAGGGTGCTTGTGTTTCATCTGTAGGATGATTTCTAAAGAAGCCGGTGAAGTCCTAGATATTCTTTCCGCAGGATTTGTGCTGCTTCTGCCCACCGACAAACGTATGTGGCCAGGAAGGGTTATGGGCAGTTCTTAGCTCTAGAGCGGCGTATCATCCGTGTCGTCTCCTTCGTTCTGCCCCTTTATCTGTGCTCTGAGTTCTGACGGTGCTATGTGCTTGCACAGCATGTGTAGCAAGGACTTTCTAAACGATTTGCAAAGGAAAAAGTATATGAATGGGTCCAGGCAAGCGTTTAGCGATGTCAGCCACAGCGTGCTCTCTTTCAAGTAAAACAAGGTGTTCCGAGCAGAACATTCAAAAACATCTCTTGTTTGGCTCAACGTGTAGGGGATTCTAGTGAAGTGGAATGGCACAAAACAAATAAAGAACACTGCGATAATGATGAAAACCTTCAAATTTACAGTCTTTTTGGATGCCTTTCCTGTGCATCTTGTCCGTTTATAGGATTTGTACAGTTCTTTACTTATGAGTATGTAGCATACAACTATGACTGCTAAATTAACCCAGAAGATAAGTTGACAAATATAGTTTACAATTTCGTGCCAGACTAAGCCAAACTCGGATTTCAAGAGAGCACACTTTTTTACGTTCTTAGGTGTTTTCTTCTTGTTCGTTAGAATCATGTTGGGTAATGAAAGAGCAAACATTGATATCCAGATGGCTGTGGACAGGATCTTGGCACCTAAAAGGCTCCTTGATGTTGATGTTCTGAACGGCGAAGCGGCTTTCTGATAGCGATCGACAGTTATGAGACCAAGAAACAAAATGCTAATGTACATGGTGAAGTAAAACACAACCTGGGTGACCTGGCACACGAATCCTCTCAGTGCCCATGTTACCAGCTTTGCATCGCTAAGGATTTTAAATGGAAAAGTTAAGATCATGAGGAAGTCAGAAATTACAGTGTTCTTGAGGAATATGATGAAATTGGATTTACTGGATATTTTAAAAAAGACCCACATTGCCAGGCTGTTCATGGTGATACCTACCAGGAACAGAATTGTATAAAGCAAAGGAAAAATGACTTGACTGATTTTGTTATCGCTGGTGCAGTTGCTGTCGTTTCTAGAGTAGCTGAAGTTGGTTGTGGCTTTCATTTGCGCTTTGTCTTTTCCCCTCTCCCTGTAACAACAAAAAAGAAAAAAAACCAAGAAGTTGTGAGTTATACCTGTCATAAGACTTCAACCTTTTTAGTCCGCAGCTCGGGGAAGCTTCCCGCGCAGCTTCCCCAAGACGCGCGCTGCAGGGGCGGGCAAGGGGCCGGCGTCGTGAGTGCGTAGGTGACGGCGCAGCTCTCCGGGTG